CCCCAAAACCCCAAAACCCCAAAACCCCGTCATACTTTATAGTCTAGAATGATCTGTAAGATATGATTAGAAATTATAAAGATATTATTAAGAAGTATAAGTAGGAATAATGGAGTCAGCATTTGAACCCACACTGCAAAACATTATAGCTTAAAAGTCATTGAAATGGATCTTCGTAGGTGGTAAAGGTGGTGTAGGAAAAACCACAACATCATCATCTGTTGCAGTTGAAATGAGCAAGCATAGAGATAATGTACGTATTTGAACTTATTTTAATAGTTACTTACTTCTTTTAATAGGTGTTGATTATTTCTACTGATCCAGCTCACAACCTATCAGATGCCTTTGATCAGAAGTTCACTAATCAGCCAACATAAGTAAAAGGATTCAATAATCTTTACTGCATGGTACGCCTTTATATTCAGTCTTAGTTCTGTTTTATAGGAAATTGACGCTCAAAGTTCAGCTGAATAGAATAAATTCTTCTCATCACTAGGTCTTCAAGGAGAGGAAAGTTAGGGAACAATGAGCTTTATGAAAGAGTTTATGTCTTCTGTTCCAGGCATTGACGAGGCAACTAGTTTTGGAGAAGTGCTAAACTCACTTGACAATTACAATTTTGATGTCATTATTTTCGATACTGCCCCTACTGGGCACACTCTTAGACTTTTGAATTTCCCGAACATTCTAGATAAAGCTCTTCTCAAGATGATTTAGATGAAAGAAAAATTCGGAGGAATGCTTAATTAATTCGGCACTATGCTTGGAGGTGGTTAGACCAATGGAGAAGATTTCCAAAAGAAACTTTTTGATTCACTTGATGGCATGAAGTCTAAGATAGTAGAGATCAATAAATAATTTAAGGATCCAGAAAAGACTACTTTTATCGCTGTCTGCATCCCTGAGTTTCTCAGTCTCTATGAAACTGAGAGACTAGCAATCGAGCTTGCAAAATATGAGATCGATATTCATAACATTGTTATTAACTAGGTATGCTTCCCAGAAAAAGAAACACCTTGCAGAAAATGCATTGCTAGAAGAAAGATGCAGGATAAATACATTACCTAGATTAAGGAGATTTATGATGACTTCCATTTGATTATTAATCCATAGCTTGATGAGGAAGTTAGAGGTATAGAAAAGCTAAAGGAATATGGAAGGTTATTGTTTGAGGGTTACGTGCATGATAAATGATAAAAAACTTAATTTAATTTACTAAGTTTAAGTATAATGTATTAAAAATAATATACGCGTCAATAGATTTTCAATACCATTTTTAGTTGAATATTAAGTTACACTAATTACAAAATATACTCACAATTCATCTAAATTTTAATCATGATATTGTTCTTCTTATTAAACTTCAGACACTTTGACTATTCTTTAAGGTAAATGAGATTTCTCTTAGAGAATAATGCCTGATCTGCCATACTTCTCAACAAATTCCATGTATGCCCTTGTTTTATGATCCTTCTCCTGATACATAATAATGCTTTCCTTTTAATTTGCTGGAAATAATATTAATTTGGGATACTCAATTCCTGTCATAATATTTGGTACACCATTTCTGTATATATCATAGCTACCAACTATCACATTTTCAAATCCGTGATCCTTAAATCTCTATGCTGTAGTGTCAACTGCACTTGCGTATTCTAATGATTATTTAAGTTAAAACGAATCCTTGAGGCTTGAATAGAAGTAAATTAATGAATCTTTAGATATATCATCAAGAACTTCCTCTTAAAAAGTCTATTAATTAAAAGATTTGGTATTTTTAAGCAACTAAAGAATTTAATAATCAAAAGATTCTCGAAATTATTCATTGAATAGTGGTCTTAATTAACCAGTAGTAAATTGTTTTAGGTACTATTCCAAATTCTCGATTGTTACCAAAGGATATCTAAAATGATAAAGAACACCGAGATTAGTAAATATGCCTAAACTGGGATGATCAGAACCATATATCCCAAATTCATGTCTGACTTCCCAAAGTTATTTGTCTTTGAAATATATAAAGCAAAGCTTTTACTTGTATTAACTAGCGATTTTGTGCAAATGATTCAAAACAAATCTCGATTATTGTGTTTCATCAATAAATAAAGCTAGTTTTGGAGCTTATATCATGTCGATTATTTTAGCGTCTGAAAATCTCTTAATCTCATAAACTGAATCTATGCTATTGATATTTATCCATTCAGCAATATCAATATTCATGTTTTTATTCAATTACAATACTATACTAGCTGGTTCATCAAACTGATAGTTTATGAGTAAGACGTAGTTTTTAGATTCTCCTAAAAAATACTTTTCCTTATTTTGATTTATAAAAAATTGAGCTCTCGCTCTATCTCCTATATACCCAAGTCTTATATCAGTCCTTGAAGCCAAATTAAGCGAAGCTTCAATCCAAAGATTCATTATATTTGGTATCTAAGTTTTATCAAAGACGACCATTATAGCTTTAAATGAAAAATTATGATCATTCTGACTCATCTGATTTTTTAAGAATTCTTTTTCTTAAAATTGATCTATTTAATAATTTTATCCACTACTGATAAATCTTATTATCTCACTATCCTTAGAAAGCTAAATATAGGGGCTAGCTAGCATCTTGTATAAGAAATAAAGAAACTCAGTCAAAACTAAATTGCCCTAATATTTTATGTACAAGCCATCCCTATTTAGATTTAAAAGGAAAAAAATTACTTGTATACATAGATAGATTAAGGATCATCTAAAGATGCCTTCTCAATTTGTTGATACATTCTGATTAAATGATAATCCAAAACTACTATTGGGACAGATTAGCTCCTAAACTAGATCTCATTATCGATAAAATAGTTATTTGATCTTCTTAATAGATTATCTATTAAGCAATTCTCTTCTTTATCTCTATTATCAATAAGTCCGATTATCATCATCATACTTTCTTATTTTATGCTATAATAATGAACTCGAAAAATTTAACTCTTACTTATAAAATTCATTCTGATAAATCTTTATTTCTGGAAACTACTAATCATCAAGGTATTCACAGCTAGGCTGCTAAATCTCTAGTGCCTTACTTAGAGAGCTCGTCAAAAAACCATTTTTAAAATTACCTAATGGGAATAAACATGATAGAATGAAGAATAATTATAAATGAGTAAATTAACAGGACTAACTTATTTCTTACTCTCAATACTATTTATATTTGCCAGTCCTTAATCTCAGTTCCTGGTTTATAAATACTGCTCTGTTCACTACGGTTAATAACTAAGCAGCACTAGCTTCTTTTGAGTGATGATGTTCATCTACTTTATTCCTTTTGTAGTTGGAGTTGCAACAACTTTTCACACTGTGCTCTATAAGTTCACGCAATTAGATAAATCACCTTTTTACCTTAGCATGTGATAAATGACAGTCATAACAATCTTAAGTTTAGTAACAATAATTGCTGATTATATTGCAATCAATAGTGATAACTTGTCATTTTTCTTGAATGATAACTTCAAAACTGAGGGCCTCAATGTATACATAGGATTACCTCTGTTTCTTATGCTTAAATTAACCTTTACACCTTTATTCACTCATCTATTTGGAGTCGCTCAACTTAATAGATTTTTCACGTATAAAATTTTTATCTACTTTGTCATTCAGATATTTGGAATTGCTGTCTATGAATTCACAGTGCTGATGAAAAATGATAGTGATGCGCAGTATTAATATAAAGTTATTGAGGATTTTGATGGTTCTAATTTTAGAGTTATTTTACCGATTTTTTACTATTTTAATACATTTGACATCGATAATGTTAGACCATTTCTTTATTAATGGCTCCCTTATTTATTAATACTTCTGAGCTCAATTTGCAATGCATTTATTATTGTTTATGGGAAGAAATCGTTTGTTATCCAAGCCTATTTAAATAGGCTCTAGTTTTATATTGATCAAAAAATTTAACTAAAAGATGCTTAACTAAACATTAACTATTTAGATGAAGATATGATGTTAAAACCAAGAATGATCAACAAAAAATCTATTCTATATAAAAGGCATGAATTTATGATGGATTCAATAGAAAATAAAAAATTAAGTACAAAATATTTCTTTAGATCTTTCAAACCTACAAGGTTCTTCCCTAAGTTATTTACAGATATATTTCAAGTTAAAAAATATGACGAAGAGGAGAGAGATCCTATGTCAAAAATTTATACAAAGTATAAAATTCAAAATAAATTATCGTCTCTTGAGGAAGATAAAATGGAAATAATTAGAAGTGAAAGAGAAAAAGAGTTAGGGATCAGTCATAGCAAACTCTAAAGAATAGAAAATAATGGCCTTGAAATTTAATCAGAATTGAATTAAATTAAAGATAAGGAAATTTAGTATCAAAAATTTAGATAATTATTATAAAAGAGAAAAAGAAACTTCAGACATCTTAATAGCCTAGATGAAATGGCAACAGATATGAATTATATTATGTTCAATCAGCATATATTTGGTGGGTTGAATGAATTAGAAGCTTCTAAAATAGACCATCAATATAACAAAGCATCTCTAGATATATTATCAATGAACTATGTTAATATTATTGGATAGAATGCTAGATAAACTTTTGATTTAGTTAATATCACACAGTCTTTGCTTATCTTTCCTTTGATTGTATTCTCAGAGAGATGTATCTTTGGAGATAATACATCTTGGGCTACATTTTATTAAGAACCTTGGGAATAGCTCATCTAATAAATTGATTGGGAGATTATAATTTCACTCTTAGCGGTTTCAATCTTATTTTGTATTCGCTCTTTATTATGGCACAAACTATATTCAGAGTTTAGTGTTGACAGGATCAAGAATCTTCAAATTCTTATATATTTCTTTCTTTTGATGGTGGATCTAATTATCACTTAGTAGACTTTGGATTTACCTATAATGAAATTAATCGGATTTTCAATCGTTATTTATGGCTACATAAGAATATGTACATTATAGGATGAAATCTTAAGCAAAAAATAAAAAGCTTAAAGTATAGATATTGCTAAGTCGCTTATATTTCCTAAATCTAGAAAAGATGCATAGAAAATTGAAAACTAACTAGTTTTTATTGATTAGGTATTAGGATGTGAAACTTTTAATTAAGCTTTATAAGACCTACTGTTATCATAGTAAGATTTATTTATTATATTATGTTTTAAGGAATCCAAAATCACTATCATATCTGGCCCCTACTTGTATGCCAATAAGAAAACTGTTTGATAAAAACTATCATAAAATGTAATTACAAGCTTTAAATATATTTAGAAAATTAGAATTTGGTGGTGGTTATCCTAGACCAATGATAGAACTTATAGACTCAAGCTTTCTAATGGATAATAAAAAGGCTAAAAGCACAAATCCTCAATTGATTATAAACTTGCCACCTGATATGAATATGGCTGACTTACTTAATTACAGGATTAGCAAAAATGAAATTTAGAAGAGGCAACTTTAAAATGAGATGAATAAATTAGGGATCCAAAAATAACAGATTGAAATGAATAGGAAATTTATCAGCAATAAACTAAAGCAAAGAAAAGCACAAAAAGAATAGGAGAAAAATGCACCTGATCCAGAAGAGCAGTAACTAAAGGAAGAATTGTAAAAGAAAATGGAATAGTCTAAACAGTCTTAGTAGGGAAATAAATTGATAAATTTGCTTAGAAAAAGTTAAGATAAAAAAGCAGAAGAACCAGCAGCAAAGGAAGTTCAAAAGCAAAAATAAGATGAGTAAAAGTTAGAGAAGATAATCAGCAAAATCGATTATCCACCTATTGAAATTAAAACTGTATTAGGTAAAAGAATTGATTTGAATAAGGAATAATAAGAAAATAAATAACAACCAACAAAAAGAGTAAACTTTGACATATACTCAAATACTAATGTCTTTAGCAATCAAAAGATAAAGGAAAGGTCAGATAATTACAAGAATATTTTGCCAGAATTAAGCTAGAAAACCACTAACAGTATTGACGAAAAGAAACCATTTATAAATAATAATGCTAGCTGGATTAAAATAAAGGCTCATAAGTATCCACAGGACCAGAAAAAGAAAGTAGATTTTGCATACAAAAGTGATTCCAGCTCAGAAGGAGAAAAGACCAAACTTCGACTAACTGGGAATAAGCAATGAATATGGAATAAAGAGTTGAATAAAGTGCCTGCTAAGGGAGTCCTATTAATAAATTATGAATTTTAGTTATAATTTGGTATAAAATAACATATTTAGATGAGATTAGTTAATTCGAAATCTAGTTAAATTTTATAAATGGGTATTGTTGTTTGAATAGAGCATTTAAACTTATTTTCATATTAGTGAAGTAGTTAATCAAATCCTTCCGTTTATCTTTCTCTGTATTTTGATTCCGACTTCAGTGCTTCTAAATGCAAGTCTTGCTGAGCTTAAGCCTAAGTTATAGCTTTAATGAGGGTAGGATAAGCTAGTACCAGCAATTAAGGCAGTGGAGACCAAGCTATAGAGAGATTTCTCAAAGTCAGAAAAAGCTTCTTTTTTGAAGGTCATTGTGAGATCAACAGCGACTTACGAAAGTTTGGCGAATATCATTATTGGAGAATCATTGAAGCTAATGCCAATAAGAGTTCCTACAATGTTCAATGCAGGAGCATACTCTTTATAACTTGCTTTTAGAAGTTCTAGTACACATTGAGTTGCAAAGCCATATACCATTACCTCCTTTTTAAGTTCTAAAGCATTGACTTTGGTCGCTGCAATGGTTACCATGCTGTTGAAGTCTTAAAATGTTTTTTCCTATGACTCATCTAATTTTTTTTCAATGAAGTTTGTAATATCATCTTCAAATCTGCAGTTAACTGTTACGGCAAGAGATAAAACGAGTAAAATGCAAATGGCTTTCATTTAATTCTAATTTTACTTTACTAATTAATTATAGTAATTTCTGATACAATATATATAAAACATCAGGGGTTTTGGGGTTTTGGGGTTTTGGGGTTTTCTGGTA